GACATTCATACATACACACGCACACATACACCCGAAGTGTGTTTTTGAGATTTTCATTTAGACACTTCAATCGTCGCGAGTTTCCTCATTCCATTGACGCGATCTTCTTGTCCGTGTTGAAACAGGAAATTGAATTGATCGCGGTTGATCGAAAAATACCGCACGCGTCTTTCGCTGACCATTTTATTTTTCGCTTGTCCCTCAATAACGGATCGAAATTCGAGAAGGATATTTTTTGCATGCATAAAATGTTGTCGTAAGCACAAAAGTGATATTCTCGAAATTCCTAATGAAGTGTGTTTGTGCGCGGTGAGAAAAAAAAAGCCGACACGTTTCGTTTCCTTTTAAAAATTTATACGAGGTGCGCGATATCAGCAACTATTTGCGTCAACTTTGGAGCACTTTGATGATATGAGATATTTAAAGTTGGGAAACGATATTCTTCACTATATAAACATAAACGAGTAAAAAGAATAAAACAATAAATAATGAAAAATAAATTATGTCATAACGTTTGTATTACGCAGTGATAAAACTGATCGGACATATTGGAAAAGAGTCTTTTGAATAAGTAAAAACAAACATTGTTCCCGTAGAACAACGAGTCGGGTAGTAAAATAAGGAAACTCGAAGACAGACGATAGCAAGCAGAGTGAAAGCTTGTGCATCTTTTATAAAGAATGTAGGAGAAGAACTCAACACAACTGCGCCGCGAGTGAGTAATCGCGTGCATGTTATTTCTTGAGAGAAAGAAAAAAAGCAACCGACAAAAAAAAAGCGAAAAAACGTGTGAAAAAGAAACGAGACGGAGACAACAAAGCTTCGATTCGAGCACCCCGTAACGAGGGATTTAAGTCTCCTAATTAACACGGCCGCTGACCTTTTCCTTTTTAGAGCGCGTATCGCGAAGGAGAAAGGCTTAAAGAGAATTCATAAAATTACCCTTACGTTCTCTGGCATCACTCCAGTTGTTACTTGCAACTCCTGCTCTTTGAATGCCTTAATTAAATTTGCTCGTGAGAGAGCAAAGCTTCTCTCTCTCTCTCTCTCTCTCTTTCTCTCTCTCTCTCTCTCTCTCTCTCTCTCTCTCTCTCTCTCTCGAATGCGCATTCGTTTAAAATG